AACCAAAAAAAATCCTGTTCCATTTAGACATAAAGCTTAGGGAAAAAAACAACAACCCACAACCCCAGGATTTTTCTTGTACATTTTTTAGCCAATTAGCAGAGAAATCAGTATATTTTCCACCAGAACATTACTGAAACTCTTACAGCAGATGAGGCAATTTCTTGCTCTTCTACAACGCTGACATGTGATTGACCCATGCGATTAAATGCCTTTTTTCTCTAAAATTAAAAGCTCTAACTTCTTTTGACATTTAGACATTGCCAGAGCTCCTTGTTCCATGAAACCGTTCTCTTCAACGTCAAATCTCTCTGTTCTTTTTTGCCTGGGATGAACAGACTGGTTCACAGGCCGAGATTTAAAACTGAACTACAGGGCACAGTAGCTGCTTCCCAGATAGATCCTATGTCCCAAATCCAAACTAGCTTCCTCTTACGCCCCTCAAAGCCTGCCTGTTCAGATGCCAGTGCTGTTCTGATCTTCCCTTTAGACACCACCCATCAATACAATGAAACAACGTCACACGTACTGAAGTCTAAGCAGTGAGTTAAATTAACTGACTGCTTCATGTTTATACACATTCTTTCCAAGAATTACTTAAACTTGAAAGCTTGATTTAAGGGAAGAAACTCATTCACTGCTAAGAGAGAGGCTATTGCTTTGAAGTCGTATATTCCCACACAGCAGGACAGATCTGCCGCTGCTAGAAAAGTGGAAGCTTAAAACCAGAATGAACTACTTCTGTTTGGAAACCAGGAGGCAGAAGCTCAGGACTCTGTTTCCTCGTACCTAATGGCCCTTGTACAGCTACGGCATTTCAGACGTCAGACACCCCGGACTACGGAGCGCCTTAGCTGCAACTAAGCGAACGTCACAGCACTCAGTACACTTTCAGCAACCATCGCATCGCACACACCCTGCACATGGGAGTTAAGTAATTCAAAATGGGATCTGCACAAAACAAAATGCTCATCATGAAGTCATCTAGGGCGGCCAAAGGGAAAAACTAGGGACAGAGGAACCCTCCTATCTCGTCCTCGCCCAGGAAACAGAAGGCATTCAACAGCTGAACGCCTGCTTGCCCTTCTCCATAAAATAACCCACCAACACTCACCACGGTGTCAGAATCTGGGCCAAGTCTGCCTTCAGTGCAGAGAAATATAAATTCACCTCTGCTGCTGCCTCTCACTAAGAAATGTCGTAACCACTAGGCCACGGGGTACACCAGGTGAGAGGACTGCAGCAGTGATGGCTTTGTGGACAGGAGGAAACTAATACTCATCTTCCTGTCCCCAACCTTTCCAGTGCATATTCAACAGACAAATACACATACAACAGCTTTTGGAACAGCAGCTGCAATCCCTAAACACCAGCTAAGCAAACTCACCTTAACACCATTTCATGCATTCCCGTGCAGAAGAGATCTCCCACAATTCCTAATAATTTATAGCCTAATAACCTGGAAGGGGAGAAGTAAGTTTAAGTCCCCTCTAGTGGAAGAAACTAGATGTCCTGCTATCTTGAGTGAATCCCCCAGGTATCAGAAAACCAAACAAACTCTCTTCTGCACAGTTCTGCCCAGCAGGCATTCAGGAGATGCAGACACACACCTTGGATAGATCCTGACCCAACAGGGTGCTCAGAAAATGCCTAGACCCTTTGAACAGAGGAGTGACAAAGGGTCTCTCCTGCATATTCAGAGGATGTAAGTGACAGGCACAAGGGAACTGTCTCCCAGCTGTGCTCATTCAGGCTTCTGGCCAACCACTGGGGAAGCTTAGCAGAGCCAAGCCAAGTCAGGATTTTGTGAGAAAGACAGAAGTGGGGCTGCAGCTACAGGCTGCAGACAGACATCAGCAGACCCACTGATACCTCCTTTGTTTCTTGAATGCCTGTGCTGTAGAAGCCATGGCAATACAGGAACAATTTCACACTCCTTGTTCTTTTTGCCTTGTTCACTGTAGCCCCCCTAAAGAAACTAAAACTACAATACGGTTCATTTTCAGCAAAGTAAAATTCAGGCAAGAAACCTCAACCAAACACTTTCATGTCTAGCAGCAACTACCTTAAGTGAGCAGACAGAGTAAGACTGGCAGGAACTCCGTATGTTATCCCCCAACGAGCTACAGGTCTGGTTGAGTCCAAACAGCAATAGGGGACCACACTTTGAGCAGAGCAAATGCCTGTTATCCACTGCCTCCACCTCTGTCAGAGGCAGAGCTTACTGCTGCAAATACGGGGGTATTTTTACAGCATTTTAACAGATTCCAGTAATCAATATAACCAGTTCTGCACAAACAGGCCTGATGATCATGTTCATACCACCGATGCGCAGCTGCTGCTAGCTGCTATAAACTTCCAACCATGGATTTCTCCTCTTGCTCAATTACTTTTCCATCTGTTAAGTGTAAGTTTTCTATGACAATGATTTATAGGATGGTTCACCGCAGCAAGGTTCATCATCAACTTTTAGTAAGCTTATGTCAATGTAGCACATGTGAAGTTTAAAGAAAGCTGGAAAAGTACGTGTTACATAAAATTACAGCAGCCCGGCCTAGTGTCTGTCTGCAAAGGACGTGCTCGTGAATGTCCAGTGGGGTAAGAACGGTTCCAGATGAGGTTGTGCGGGTCCCTTCTGCCAAGACTCAAGAACAGCAGGGGCGCCTCCCTCTAGAATCAAGCAGATAAGGAAGCCAAGCCATAACAAGCTACTTCAGATGGTTAGTCTTTACACCACTCTGAACTTGTGCTGAGCAATCGCTGATTATCACTGGCCTTCACTGAAGTCATCCTGAAGTGCTTTTGTTAACGATCTGAGGCATACACATCGATACTTCATGCCATCATCATTCCCATTTCCTTCTGCCTGAAGAGTGAATTACTTGGACACCAATGTTAACTCTGTTTTAGTCGGATCTATAACTCCTGCATCAACGTTCAGGGTAATACATATATGCAAAAACACTAGAGATGCCAAGATGACCGTGAAAAACGCAAGCTTTGGAAAGCACTCATTAAGTAAAAGTGAATGCGAGGTAACACATTTGAAGGAAAACAGAAATAAGTTTAGGTAACAAGTGATTCAAGTACAGAAATCTACTATTTGCCTGAGTAGCTTCTGCTGTAACACATAAAAATGCCAGAATCTTTTATTTCTTCCATGTCCAAGAACTTGGAATTACAGTTGAAACCCTACGGTGAGCTGGTGCTTGCTGTGGCCTGTGGCTTGCACCTGAGAAAACAAAACTCAGGAGTGCAGCACAGGCTGGGATCTACCTGTCTGGGTAGCAGCTCTGTGGAAAGGGAGCCAGGGGTCCTGGGGGACAAGAAGCTCAGTGTGAGTGAACAGTGTGGTGCTGTGGTCAAGAAAGCCAACAGGATGCTGCAAAAGAGGTGTGGATGGGCTGGAGAGAGTCCAGAGAAGGGCCACAAAGACGATCAAGGGACTGGGAAGCCTCCCACATGAGGAAAGGCTGAGAGAACTGGGGTTGTTCAGCCTTGAGAAAAGAAGGCTTAGGGGAGACCTTACCACCATGTCCCAGTATTTAAAGGATGGCTACAAAGAAGATGGAGGCTCCCTTTTTACAAGGGGTCACATGGAAAAGACAAGGTGTAATGGGTACAAGTTACTCCATGGGAGATTCCAATTGGACACAAAAGGAAAATTTTTCCCAATGAGAACAATTAGCCATTAGAATAATCTCCCCAGGCAAGTGGTGGATTCCATAAAATTTGACACAAGTGGACCATCTTGTCTAGACCGTGCTTTTGCCATGAAAAGGTTAGACCAGATGATCCTTGAGGTCCCTCCCAAAGCTGATAATCTATAATTCTATGACTCTACTGGAATCATTTCAGAGTTCTCTGAGGACTCTTTGGATACCAGCAACTTGGGACAAAAACTGCTCCTCAGCTCAAAACTGCAAATTACTCCATGGTCAGCTGAGAGCCACAGAGGCAAAACTAAGACTATGAACTGCCTTTGTTAATTCTGATTAATGAAATGCTAATAATTTAAAGAATTTTGGTAAGGGAGGTGACTTTAATTGTAAGACTGACTTTATGGCACAGTAAGATGCAACAACTGTCTTCCCCAGAACAGGCCTAAGCCAGACCCCTGCTTTGTCAGCTGGTTCAGCTCTGTACAAGTTTAATTTAAACATCTGAAGAATTTGTCCAAGAGACTTAGGTTTTTCTTTGTATCTTGCATGAAAAGAATTATGAGCCATGAAGTGTCTTGCAAGAGTGGTGGTGTTTTAAGGCTTCACTTACCTATCAGCAACTATTTTATTACTGTCCAGATGGAAAAACCCCAAACACCAGTACCTCCCTTCGGTACAACTGGTTTCATGCAGTTTACTGAACATGTATTCAGTGCCAGGCAGAAATATCCCCTGAACTTAAGACTGTTCCTGCATACAGGTATCATAGGGGACACACACTAGGAGCAGAGAGGAATGCCAGCTTTGAAAGCAGTCTGCTACAGGACACCTTATTCTTTAGAACTGTCTCTAGCAGCATGACACAGTTCTGATGAAAGCCACAGCAAGGAATGCCATACGAAATGTGTGTGAGTCTGTGTACCCCGGACATGTACTCTGTACAGTATGTTTTATGCTTGACAGCACGGTGTGGTACCAGCAGAAAGAACAACAGACAAGACAGAGTTAGAGCTTAAAATCAAGATTATTCTGTTACTTTTTCCCTTTCATCAAGAGCAGAAATGAAGTGCTAAAAATGTGCAAAAACCTCAGCCAACTAAATGAGTAAGAGAGGACAAAGAAAAAAATAAAGGACAAGCATAGTTTACAACTTCAAACCTCCCTTAGCAACACGTCAGTACTGCTAGCTAATGTGGTAAAGCTAACTGCATTAGCTCAGCCATTCCGTTTTGTAAAGCCGCCATCACCTGATGTCAGAAACTCAGCATTTCCTGCCGTACCAATATCACGATGGTCTCCAACACTGGTAATACTGGACCCTTTATTTTCCATAATTACCTTGTGAAGTCTGTCATCTCCATCATAATCACACACATCCTCTTGGCCAAAACAATGATGTCGTTGCTGGTATCATCCCATATTTCAATCTCTGCATCAAGCTTACTCTTGACTTTTTTGAAGTCAGCCACTTGCTCGGCTATTTTTTCCTTTTCAGCCTCTGGCAGTTGAGTCATCTTGGCCTGAAATATAAAATAATTTGATTTGCAGAATGTCTATGTCAGTGTGTTTCCTTTGTTTTTTAAACAAAATCACTGGGTATTATTAAATATATAGCTTAAACACATTCTGCCCTGAGGCAACTGTTCCAGCCTGAGCATTTCTGAATTTCAAGATCTGTATGCTGCCACTGGGTTGGGCCAAATAAATTACCTCATGGCATGAGGACAGTGGTGTCCATGAAACCATTAATATTAACACAGTGAGAAAAAGACACCTAAATTCTTCCAACCTGACTGATAGATTTTCCTTTCTCTTAGGGATAAAGGAGCCTAAATGATTGCAACTATGCAAGTTAGAAAATACAATATTCTTTCAGGTAGGAAAGAATAAAGTAGAAGTTCTAATTGTCCTAAAACTTTCAGGTATTCTTGCCCTCTCTCCTGAGAAGGTTCTACAACATCATTTTCAAAGAAAGACTTAATTGGTCAAATATGCATGCTCAGTCTTTGAAGAAGACAAATTAACAGATGAACATGTCGGAAATCAGTATGTGAATAAGGTTACAAAAACGTATCTTGAATGCCAACAGGAAAATACCCAGTACTCCAATCAAGCCATAGCCAAACCGGGCTCAGACGGGACACAGCCCTGTACTTGGCAGCAGCTCCAGACTGGACTGTTCACAAACATTCCACTGGCTAAAACCGTTTCAAACAAAGGTTTAGTGTAAGAATGGTGTGTTTTGTGCCAGTTCAGACTATGGAATCAGAACATTCCATCTATACTGAACGCATCTATTCCTCCCACACCTAAGCATTAGTGAAGTATTTAAAATATAAAGAGGGAAACAACTGCTGAAAATGCCGCATGGTGAGAGAAATATTTTACTTAATATCCTTCGTCATGAGCAAGATCATCAGTCTGCCCCAGATGTAGTTCCTGTGTCAGGAACAGGCCAGGCAGCAGACGGGCTGAGGTACTACATGGCCGCGCTGCAGTCCTGGCCCTTCACAGCACCTTCTGCCGCGGGAAGTGAGGCGACCTTGCGGCCTGCTGTCTTGGTAGCTTCGCTGCCCCCGTGCTTTTTATCCATCACCTCTGTGAAATAGCCCGCCTCCTGCACCGCAGGCCACCGGGAACTCACTGTTACCTACAGCAGCCATTAACACACTGTAATTGTGCTGCAATTACATGAATAGTCTGTGACTTGTTCCTGTTTACAAACCATGTACCACCCATAAAAGAGAAAGTCCAGGCAGTGCCTGAACTACGCAGGATTACGAGCCAGCGGTTCGAGATGCAGTGTTTATGTTTTTCAAGCCATGCCATTTCAGGGATTTTATTTATGCTTGACTCACTCTGTCACAAGGTTAATTTTCCCATTTATATGAATTACGGGAAATTACAGGTCTCCCAAAGTGCAACTATGTTATAATTGCAGTCACAGAATTAGAAAGTGTTAACTGTTTTAAGGAATACATTTCCTGTAAAAAAACCCAATCCCTCTGCCCCCCTCAAAACCCCAACAAAAAAACAACAAAAACCCACAGCCAAACAAAAAGCAAAACAAACCGACCAACCCCACCATAACTAAAACAGACCAGAGAAGACCCAGACACATCTTCCTCATGGCTGTGGTATAAGCTTGCTGGGAAAGGTACGAAAGAGAAGAGAAGTAAGAGCTGGTGTCCTGGTTTAGGGCCAGCTGCAACCGAGCACCGCATAGCTGCTCGCTCACTCTCCCCAGTGGGTGGGGAGGAGACAACCTAACAAAAGCCCAGTGAGTTGAGACGAGGACAGGGATGGATCCCTTGCCAATAAAGGCCATGGGCAAAGCAGACTTGAGGAAAAAATCAATCTAATTTGTTACCAATCACATCAGACTAGGATAATGAGAGAAAAAAACAGACCTTCCCCTCAGCCCTCCCATCTTCCCAAGCTCAGCTTTGCTCCTTATTTCTCT